TAATACATAGGTTAATCAATATATACCTACACTCATTTAGTAATATTTGTGAAAAGGCAACGATAGACTAGTGTTTCCCAAAGGATGTGCCACAGCACACTGGTGTTCCGCAAAAAGTTGAACTTTATATATATATATAAACCATTTATAATTGATTGAAAAGTAGATAATGTTTAAAATTTATCCAAAGTGTGCCGTGACTTATGATAACTAATAATAATGTGCTGCGATGGAAAAAAAAGTTTGGGAACTACTGGACTAGACGACTACTCCTGGAATCAATATAGTTCCACATCGACACCATTATACCCCAAGTACTTGACTTGATTATATCTATCTATACTAATTGATGATTAGTAATTATATATAAAAAAAAGTATATTCGCAGTTCTGTATAATTAATAAAATACATAAACTTTAACTCGCATGTATTATACGTATACTACGATATTTGTATAAATTGAATACCAAAATATTATACTTATCACTTTTACAAATTAATACTTAAGTAACGCACAAGTGAAAATATTTTTAAAAATAATAGCAACCAAATAAATTTTATACAGGTTCATACATTAATATTTGTGAATAGGTCCTTAATTATTTTATTTTTTTCACGGAACGCTCGTCTAATCATTTCATTCGTTCTAAATGAACCGATACTTATCTAAACGCTTAAAACTTTTACGTTTCATGTTTTTCCAATGAAGCTCATTCTTAACTGAAAATGTGTGGAAAAAAAATGACTTGTCTAAATAGTACCATCTAAAGCATTCGATCAGATTACACATTTTTGGGGAAGAGATGCATAATATGTACTTTTTTTCATTGCAGCCCGTGTCGCAAGTCGACATAGGAAAGAAATAAGAGATGTAAACATCACACGTCATATTCAAAACCAATATAATATATAATATAATAGTCTTCTACCATTTTGCGCGCAGAATCTAAACAAAACAAAAATATCTAATATATAAAAAAAAAAATTGAATTTAGAACGCGCTTATTTTACATTCGAATCCCGCGTATTTCGACAATGTAACCATCATATATATATATAAGTATGCGTTATCAAAAATTATAATAATATATAGTACATACTAAGATTAACATACATTATAGGTCGTCGTATATCACAATAGTATTATATGACGTATATACATACGCACGTATCCAAAACCAGTATATATGTTATATACTCATATATAATAGTGCACTAGAAACGAAATTGTAAATGAAAAACACATCGTGGAAAAGGCGCAATAACTGGCAATAGAAGTATAAAACTACTATAATAATATTATGTTTACGTATAGCTAACGAAATTCGATTGTATAGTCGATTCACAACCATGGAATACGCTCGTTCCAAATGCCAATATGTATCTACCTATAGTGATGTATTATTGTATTGTTTGCGAGCGTATACCTGAAATATAGTTGAATATAATATAAATAACTTATCGAATTTAATGTATTTCAATAACAATAGAATAATGTGTACCTTTACGTAACATTATTGATTGGCTTCTACACATTACGATCGTGGAAACATAATTTTAGAAGTCTATGCCAATCATACAGCTAAGGTACCAAGGTATATGATGCATTAATATAACTAATTTTTGTTAAACATAATATAAAATACTAATCATTCAAAATCATATAAATTTAAACGATAAAAAGATTAATTTTTTTAAATTTTTAATAAAACATTTTTAAGCGACGAAATTGATTCCAAAATGATCAGGTTACTATATATACTTCTTCATACACAATCTGGTGACATTCAAATCGTGTAGAAAACCTCGTACATTACAATATTTTTTTCTCTGATTATATATGTGGGTAAAACTTCATTTTTATAAACGACCAATAATTATATTATTTATCAAGGTTATCCAGTGGATACATAATAATCATTAATATTTATTATATTATAATAATATCTACTCAACTATATATTTTATTGGAGAAAGCGCGTTTTGAACAAATGTCGCGATGTTGAAATTATAATAAATAATGATGCTATAGCATAGAACACTTTCATATTACAGTACTATCTTTTCTCAAATTTCAATTCAAATTACGTATGTGTAGAATACCAACAATATATTGAAATTATTTATTTTTTTTAATTTACTTCGTAAAATTCAACTGTATATTTCCTATTGTCATATCAATGTATAAGTTTTAAAATAGGCGATGACCAGCACTACATACCTAATGCATATTATTGTTTATCTAGAGCTTCTAAAAATTTCGAATACCATTAGTAATTTTAAAGTCATCTAACACTATAAAAATGTATAGAATTTTCATTATTTTAAAAAAACTCGAATTCAAATAATAAGCTAGGTACAGGATTGACAGGTATACTAATTTATGTTCCAGTCCCCAAAACTGAAAATAAGTATATAACATTACCTACCTTTGTAAATTAAACAGCAAATGTATTAAACTACTATTATTAATGTAATTATATAAACATTGACGGATATCCGGTATACGGCTTATCGCACACCCGATATTATATATCATTTACATAGGTAGTCACTTTACACCTTTAATGGTAGTGTATACACACTAACCTAACCATTACATATGATACAATATGATTTTTTGGTTCAATGTGAACTAGCCAAAAATTGTCTTCTTTGCTGATATTATTATATCAATATTTCTCTTAAATTTATTTCTTGTTAAAGTAAAATCACCCCGTATATTGTGGTGTATCACGGCATAAGAACCCCTCCTACAAAGTAAATATAAGCTGTTGTCATTCATTACTACAAAATAACAATCGTCCATTCTATCTGTTTATTTTTATACCCTAGCTACAATATTTTGTACATGCAGTATAATAATACAACCTAGTCATAAATGACACCTACTCATAATATTATGTTCTCATTGTATACCCGCGCCCACCAACGATCCTACCCATAATAAAAATACAATATACTTACATATAATGGAGGCGTATACTACGTACAGATATTATAGCACTTCTGCAGGTACTTATATACTTGTGAGTTGTGATTATTTTCAGAACGAGAGAGGACTGTTCTATCCAACAGTATACGTATCCTAATAAAGATAAATATATTTATTTATGTATAAAATATAAAAACAGCATTTTTGAGACATAAAAAAGTAAGCACCTACACCTAGTTATGATACACGAAGTCAAAGGGAAAATCAACCCGCAACAGTAGCGCTAATACCAGACTCTCTCGGCGTCTTTTTTTTATGAAAAAAATGAAACTCGTTTGAGAATCAATCAAACTATTTTTGAAAATGCATAGCTTCTTCCTAAGCAATTATAAAAAAATTATATTTTTTTCAAATTAATGTATTTTGTTAGGTTTACAATAATACATAGATATAGGTGTTTAAACAATTAATATATTTATTTTTTAATTTTGTGTTTAAACGTTTACGGCTCAATGGCCAATTTAACAAAATATGGTCGTGTTTGGATGAACCAAAATGACTATAAGCCACACATAGTTGAGATTTCATAAGGATATTAATTTAATACATAATCCAATAATTCTTAGACATAAATTTAAATTAATGAATTTCCTTTGTTTTGGTATCTAACATTATTATACATTTGCTGAAATATTAAATTTTAATTTGTTATAAGTTATAACACTGTATTATAATGTAAACAATTTTAACTCTTTAATACATGCTGTAGACTTATAAACATGTATCATATACTTATATATGTATAGTATTTTAAGGGAAGCATAAATGCTTATTTCATAGATTCCTTCCACGGGTGCATGTAGCAGTATTCATATAATATATACTATTTTCATACGTAAGGTATCAGGATGATGAATACGGATAGTCAGTCGAATAACGTGAACAATATTAACCGTTTTAATATGGTCTCTACATTTTATTCACATATTATGTATTGTTTAATTATTTGGTATTTTTTGGATACTTTATTCACTTTCTTTCAACAACATTTGTATCTATAGATAATCTGAGATATCAATTTAGTATTTTATATGAAAATAATGATAAAATCTTCCCATTAAATTATACAACAACCAATACAATAATTATAGTACTATAATAGTAGGTACTAATTTTATTATTCTAAGAAAGTACCTCGCGGTTTGTCACGATACTTTTTACAACGAAAACGTGATTCTACTGCTATGTAAACATTTCTTTTCGTCGGCTGACGCGCAATCTTCCCGTGTTTTTGTTTTCCGATAAAAAATTCAAAAGTGACGCGCAATCCACGCTTCGATCTATCCATCTCCATTACCCCACCATAGACTCTACACACAATAGGCTTCGTCGTGCGATTTAATACGACAGAAAAATAATAATAATACGATGATGATAATAGTACCTACTCATCGTGATATCGATTATATAAACAAAAACGTAATAACCGTAAGCGTCGATGTCGTGAACATCATTCGAGCTGGGTCGCGTGCTCACGTCTTATCGAACAAAAATCGCAAAAACCTGCCATCGTGGCACGGTGTTACATCGTACGGCGCGTGGGGGGGCACACCGCGCGCGAAAGCCGTCAATCCTCACGGGCCGTCGACGTTATCAGTCGTAACAGTGCTGATAACAAGCGGTGTGCCATAGATAAGAGCGTACGCAGACGAATGCGGCGGGCGGCGTACAGCAGACAAAAAAAGTACACCGACGAACGGGAAAAGTCGGGGTCGATCTAGTGCCGTTTTGTTTTGTGCTGGCCTTTGTTGTCGTCGGTGTCATTTCCCGTTTGATGTTGTTTCCGTTGCCGCTTCCGTGGGCCTGACGCGAACGCCATCGTTACTCCTCCGGATTCCGTTTCGCCGTAGATTTCTCGTTCCCATCCGGTCGGTCGGGTACGCTGCGTTTTGCTCCGTTCGTGCACCACGACCACCAGCCGATGCGTTTGACGGTCGGCCGACGGCTCCCAAGACCAGCGCGCCATTAGCTGACGGAGCAGAGCGGCGGTGAAGTTACGAGCTCGGTGCACCCTACAGCCAACGCAATCATGGGCGCCGGATCGAGTCACGGCGAACTGGCCGACAACGACTGTCTGCTGCGGTTGGCCGGCGAGCTGGAGATCACGATAGACGACCCGTTCTGGGACACGTTCCTAACCTTCTCGTTAAACCCTCCAACCTGTAGGTGAGTATTGACAAAAAGGCACATAAGTCTTATCATCGACAAGCCGCCGTGCCTCCGATCGCCGTTTAAAAGTATCATTGTTTTCAGTCAAGACGACAAGATGTTGACCGATCGCCTTAAGAGCATCTGCGAATCGCTGGTTGTTAACAACAGAAATACTTCCAATTTCAAGACGTTAATCAGACTGCTGTTGGATAAAGCCGATTTCCAAAAGCTAGAAGCTGAAGAAAAGTAATCCACTCACGGCATATTCTTAACTTCATAACAGTCGAAAGTATCCTATAATCGCATAATATTTGTGTTAATGTCTTTAGCAATATTCTACGGTGGCAAGTGTTCAATGGATTGTTTATAGCTAGGTATTTCCTAAAATATCTTGTTCAAAACTCTAAAGAAATCGAGATTATCAATCAATTCGAGTTACAAACCGGTAAGTCTAAAAATACAATATTCAGCATAAATCATTTTTATTCTCAACTCAATTTCAATTTAATTATCATATATTTAGATTTTATGCTACATTCTTTGATTATTTTACTTCTTAAGATTTTATTATTTCATTAAAAAAAAATTTAGCCCATTTAGTAGATAACTTATATATTAAATGAACAATTTATAATAAGTAATAAAACTATATATTTTATATGATTTTGACTCTACTATTTTGGTTAATTTTGGAAAATAAATAAAACTATTAACTAATGATTAAAGCTCAAAAGAATTTAAAATTGATTGACTTGTCAATATTTGTATGTGTCAATGTAATCAAATTATAATGAAAATATTGTTATACTTTAATAATAAATTAAATATAATTAACGTTGACAGTTAAAATTCATTGAATTTTTAACTATAGACTATAAAGTATTGGAATATAATTAAATTTAACTTCTATCTAGTAATTTTTTATGATAAAATTGAATTTATTTTAAAATCAATAATATATTTTACATATTCCTTTAGTATTTACCAATTCAATAAATGAATATTTTTTTAAAACTTATTAATTTTAATTTATAGATAATATAATCTTATAAATTATAATTATCTATTAAATTATAGAGTTTTATTTTGCACAAAACTGCTGTCTGTAACCATACATAGTCTTCAATCACACACACATATTTTATTCATATCATTGTTTCTTAAGTTTCTTATGTATATTAATATGCAGTTTTCGATTGAATTTTCAAATTTATGTTATTCTTGTGATTTTATAATATAGAACACTTTTTAAATATTTAAATTTGCTTTTATGCTTTAGATGGAATCGAAGTAGCATTAGGTGATCGGAAAGAGTATGCTGTTCCAGAAGATTTAAATGAAACGACATCATTCAAGTTTATATCACTTTTAGTTAAGATTGTTTCTGAATTAAAAGTAACGTAAGTATATTTATTATATTTTTATAAATAATTATTTTGTTAAATGACATAAACTGTATATTTTTCATAGGGATTCTACTTATTCAATTCACATAGAGAGTTTAAATTGTATTATAGTTATTTTGTCTATTCAAATGTATACCATTCAACCGTCTAGTAGTCTTATCATATATAGGTATGTTAATTTTAAATTAATTCTGAAAATTATTATCTGATTCATATCATATGTTTTTAAGAATATTCATGGAAAATATTGATGCTGTAAAATTGTCAAAAGCATTATTACAAAGGTATACAGAGCAAATTAAGCCACCCGTATTGTCAGGAGGTGGCATTTTCTATGGATTAGCTTGTAAGAATATTATTATTCTTATTATTCATTTTTTTTAAATACTAATTTTCATTTACATTATTGAAGCAAACTTATGGAATATACTGACACTGAGTACTAATGTCCCTGTCCAAACAAATCAGAGTCCATTAAGTTCATTGTCAATCAGTGTGTTGTTAATATTAATTAATCACTGCACATCACCACCTCCTCCAAAAGGAAATCCATATCGTACCTGTATTTCTTCGCTATCAGGTAATGATTGTTTTAAAATTTACATCAGTAATAAATTTAATTATGTCAAAAGAATTCCAAAATGATGTTAATTGTATTGTATTTTACATTTTTAGATAATCTTGTAGTTATATATCAATTTTTGGGTGATAATCCAGATGCTCCATTAAGCGAAGAAAAGACTTTATTATTGTACCATTTGATACATTGTAACCCTAGTTTTAAATCATTTCTTTTGGCTCGTACTGATATTGAAGTAGTGGTATGAAATAATAATTTTTACTTATGTTTAATGACAAATAATTTTTATTTACCAATTTTCTTTAGTTGATTCCACTTTTGAGAACAATTTACAATACACAGAGTAGTCGATTTCAACATATGTACATGGCCCTTATTGTACTGCTGATACTGACTGAAGATCAACTCTTCAACAAAACCGTCCATAGTATTTTACTAAAAGGTGCTACTTGGTATCAAGAAAGAGTGGTATCCGAAATTTCTCTGGGAGGTCTTATTATTTTGGTCACTACAAGAACAGCTCAATATAATTTGCTGAAAATGAGAGTAAGCTACTATTTTCTTGTCATCTTTCAAAAAAATGTACTTCTTTTACACATTTATATTGTTTTTAGGATAAATACTTACACATTAATTGTTTTGCTGCATTAGCAAACATGTCATCACAATTCAATCAGTTGCATCCGTATGTTTGTCAAAGAATGTTGAGTCTATATGAGGTGCTATCAAAAACGTTTTTGAGAAGTCCAAACCAAGATGTTAGTTTTTAAATACCAAACATTTATTTAATCTCATCAAAATTTGAATCTGGCTTGATGGAAACCTATTGTATTTTATAACATCAAATTCGCATGTATTTATTGTTTTAGATGAGTGCCATTGATGAAGCATTGCGTATAGTTTTAGAAGTGATAAATTCATGTTTATCAAATCAATTGATACACAACCCCAATTTAGTGTATGCTCTTCTCTACCAACGCAAGGTGTTTGAACCACTGAAGAGCCATGAAGCATTCCATGACGTCATCCAGAACATAGATATGGTTATAACATTCTTTTCGGCAAAACTCGAACGTGAAGAAGAATTATTAAATTCATCTGATGTAAATACTATGTTGTCTCGAGTGCAACATTGGTCCCTTCAATGGCCCAGAGATCTTATGAAGGTAAAATTGTAACATCTTTATAGCCATAATTAGTATAAAATTTTCAAAAAACAATTTTTTTTTTTATATTTTTTTTTTTTTTTTTTGTAGAAATTCCCAGATCTTAAATTCAAATATGTGGAGGAAGAGAAACCTGAAGAATTTTTTGGTCCATATGTTTGGTCATTGGTGAACATATTATCTGGTATTAATTTTGAATCAACTCTCTATAAATTAAATTAATTGACAATAATGTAAATCTTAATTTTTTAATTATTATTAATTTTGTTTTTTAATCAATACTTTATATATATATTTTTTTTTGTTAACATATTATTGTGTGATAAGAGTTTGTATGTAATATGTATAGATATATAAATACTAAAATGAGTAACTTAAACCACAGCTTTAGATAAAATATATTAATATTATCTATAGTTGTGGTTCAATTCATTGTTATATTACATGGGATATATTTATAATAATTATTTTCATAATTGTTAAATTTTTTATGTATTTATAAAATTATAGTAATATAAAATAATTATATTCCCATATTCTTTTTAATTTTTATTCCATTAACAAATACTGGAAAAATTAATGAATATAAACTCCTTAATACTTATAAAATTATTTTATACTTACAAGGTTTTTTTTTTAAAAACTTCTGTTTATTCATACCACTAAGAAAGCATAATATGAATTGAAGTTAACCTTGTTTAATTTGCTAAAAAAACCTAATAAATATTTTCTATTTGTTATTTACATTTGTGAATTTCCAATTTGATATTTTAATGTGTAAATATTTTAAATATTTCACAAAGCACTTGGCTTTCAATTTTTAGTAACATGATTTAAATATTCTATAACAGTTAACGGCGGTTCTCAAACTTATTGTATCCCGATACTGTACTATCAGGCACCATCAAGTTATAAAGATTTTCTTTTGCCTATCAACTAGTCTATTACTTCAAAACAAATTTTTTTAAAGCACAGTTTTGAATAAATAAAAGATTTTAATTAGATTTTTTGATTTGACTGGTTGTTAACCGCTCCTTTAAAGGTTGAAATATTATTAAATACCTAGTGATTAATTCACTTAAAACTTCTATACATCCTCGTCAGCCAATGACCAGGTATCAGCATAAAACGTTATCATCTATATTAGTTGGGGGTTTTCAACCTGCGGCTTGGCGGCCTGCCTTAAATTCATTTGAACCAGCAAACACGTCATCTTAAGCAAAGTATGTATTTTTTAATACATTTTTAATCATTTGTTATACATTTACATATGTCAATATTACGAATATACTGCTTGCGAAGTTTTAAAAAATAATAAGCCAGCTGCTTAAAAAAGTTGAAAACTCTTGATCTATAGATGAAAATAAAATTATTTATTCCATACAATTGACTTTACATTACCATAAAAAACTAATTAAATAAACCTGAAAACTTTAAATATAAGTTACTCGTTTGAATTTCCTGTCATGACTCATCCTACAGGATTCTCGTTTTGTTCTCAATAAGCTCGATGTATCTCGTTTCATGTATTGTATACAAATATAATAATTTCTATTTTGTTTTAAACATCTTATAACAACAAGACCATATGCGAACCATCATAAGGTCTATTATCAATTATATAGTATTGACTTTGGTGGAAGTCTCCGGTCAAAAATTGGGTACATCAATCCAAAATAAATAAAAACAACGCGTAATGCAACGTGTTCAGAAATCAAAATATTGTTGGTAAGTGTATAGAAAAGGTAAGCTTCATTTTGTAAGTTTATGTTATCGCACAGAAACATGTCAGTGATCCGTTCTGTATTCCGAGTATCTATACCGGCTGGCTATCGTAGGGATAATAACGGACCAACCGTAAAAGAAATGTGTAGGTACGCCTGACGTGTGGCGTCAAATGTTACAGCTATTGAATTATTTAAAGTGATTTCTGTTGGGGATAACACATTTGCGCTAAAAAAAAATTAATTTGTTTTGGGTACAGCCCATTTTCGCCAAAATAAAAAAAAGATAATAGGTATATGTTTTTCCGACAGCCCGTTTGCTCCAAATTTACCTGCGTAAAAATTTCACATTAATGTATAGTTAATATGTAAATTAATGTTAAGTCGTATATTTAAAAGACGTCTTGTCTGTAATATATAATAAAGTTATTTTAACAAGTCTATAGATTTTAAAGCTTTGTATATTATTGCGTAGAAAGATAGAAAACAAGTTTTATATTAGTTTTATAATGTTATACGATGTAGGTGCTCCGTTATCGTCATTCGTCAAAAGAACGATTGCAATGTGATTTTATCGGGTGTATATAATTTGCGCTAAAAACAACCAAAAAAATATATGTCATTTGCGCCACATCTAAAAATGTATTTTGGTAATTTACGTCACTTTTTAAGTTTGTAATTTGCGCCAAATAAAACTAAATAAAAAGATATTATATTGTTATCTGTACCATAGTGTACCTACTAAAATTGTAATATGCGCCATTGTTCACCTTATTAAAATTGTAATTACCACCACTAATATTAAAATTATAAATAAATGTATGTAAGTAAACAAACTACACGTATATTAAATAAATACATTTTTATTTAGTAATAAAACATATAAAAATCAATGTAAAAATTATATTGAACATGCGTCGGTACGTATTATTGTATATCCTATGCGATATCACTAAATTTATCTGCTGGTAAACTCCAACTGCAATTGAAGTTGGAAGTGTGGCACAAATTACATATTCCATTTAATTTACTGTTGTGGCGTAAAATACCAAAATTAATTTTCTGATGTGGCGCAAAGTACCAAAATTAATTTGTTGATGTGGCGCAAAGTACCAAAATTAATTTGTTGATATGGCGCAAAATACTGTTGTATTTTTATATTTTAGCGCAAATTACATACGTATTTAAATGTATCTATTCGTGGCGCAAATTACAAGTAATAAAATTGGCGCAAAATACCATATCCCATTTTATCAGACATTCGTTTCCTTACCTACACTACATGTCTTCTTAATATTCTTGTTTAGACAAACATAATTACGTTATACTAAACAATATTTGAATTATAAATTATGAGAATGGAGTTCATGACAAGCAAAAGAGAATAAAAAATGGTCATAGAAAATGACTCTGAATATATTTTAGCATACACATCTTCTAAAAGTGTTGAAAATAAAGTTGGTAAATATGTATTAACTAACTATTTATTATTGTTTAAAATAATTTGTATTTTTGATTGTTATTTAAAAAAATCGAAAAATTGACTATAATAAATGATAACTTTTCAAAAAAAAAAATCTATATTTATTTACTATTTCTTATTGTTTAAAAGAATGTTTATTATAAATTATTTTTTTTTTTTTTTTAATTATACGATTGACTATAATTTAAATTAAACTGTATTGATTATTATTAGAGAAAAAAATATTATTATTTATTATAATTATACCGAGTAAATTTGGCGCAAATGGGCTGTCAGAAAAAAACATACCATTTTTATTTTGGAGCAAATGAGATGTATCCAAAATTATTTTTATTTTTTTTTTGACGCAAATGGCGATGCCCTTTTTGTTAGAAGTAAACACTTATCTCTCTAAATTGACGTTTTTAAATATGCATACTGTTTTAAATATATCGAATGCATAAAAAAACATATATTTTCAAAATAAAACATTTTTTTTTTTTAATGCTTTATTATTACAAAATACTTTTGAAATATCAAATTATAATATCCAAAGCAGAATTTTTTTCTGAGAGTTTAGACGTTTAAAATCAAAATGTCAATTGAATAATGCTATAGAATAATTCTATTAGTTATAATTTACAAATGAAATAGAGGTGAACCAACATTTTTCGGAGTACTCCTGTTCATTTCATTTAGCTCATTCCGTGTATGAAGTCAAGAAATTCATATTGTCACTATTGAAGATATTCAGAAAAGTAAAAAACTTCCAAATATGTAAAAAAAAAAAAAGTGTATAATTTTAAGAAAATATATGGGGCTGCCGTTATGCGGCTTCACGTGGTCTTGAAGAAACAAATTATTGAAATATTCTCAAAAACGTTAACACTTTTCTAGAAAATTATTGTTCACCAATAAAAAATGTACTCTGTATATGTGCCTATTAATAGTAGAGCATTATAACGTCGTGATGTTTTTGTAGTTTATTCCGCTAAAACTTCATTTTTTTCGACGATCCGCGTCCCGAAACAACTATACAACAGTCGACGGACATTTCGGTGGGGAAAACGAGTTTTCGGATTCAATGCGATTCTTCCCTTCCCCTTTAATACCGCGTACGACTGCCTCGTAGCCGTCGCGCTCCCGTCCACGGACAATTGCGTTTCCGGAATCGTAACAATAATAACAACGACATACTGATATATCGTCACTACTGTATTTATGATAGTTAATAACATCATCAACGCCGCACAGTAATATTATAATTTGTTGTTGTTTTGTCGAAGGTATGTATTATTATAATCCTTACCTATCTATCTAAGCTCGCGCGGTCTAACCAACACGCGAGCGCGCGCGCGCACTCTCCGCCGTCCCGGTAAGAAACGGACGCCGAGAAGTCAGGAGCAGTAGCAACCGGACCATCACGGTCGGCGTAACTACCTACCGCGATTGCCGGACCAATAGTTGTAGCAAATTGTTTGTTCTTAGCCCGGTATACCTAGGTATAGGTCAAACGTGTGCATCGCGCTGTCGGTTGAATTAATATAACGTAGTTTTGTGTTTTACGTTCGCCCGTTGGACGCGATTTAACCACGCGAAGTCCGGTTGAAGTTTTGCGTAGGTGCAGTTCGTCGTCTTAAAATACTATTATCATTGCTATTGTTATCATACTGTAGCCGGCTCGGTGCGCCGTTGAAAACCCAAGTGCTCGCGATCCGTCTCCGAAGCGATTGGTATGAGTTTAATGCGTATATATACCTATTATAATTTATATACTTTATTATTGATATTTTCGTGCGGACGTTTGTCGCATTTGCACGTAAGAAGTGGGTAGGTAGTGACTAGGTACTTGCGTTGTACGAGTGGTAAAGAGAGTTGTTTTTCATTTAGAAAATTTTTTCGATTTTCCGCCACCTCGTCGAACCTATAACAACAGTCGTACACTGAGTATCTAGGTGGACGTTGTAATAAGGCTGGCGCATGTATGAAATAAGGCGTGTTTTTTTTTAATTTTAGCAACGATAAAAACCTTTTAACCGGTAAAATGTAACGTACATTTACGTTTACCCGTATAATTTACGATTCTTATTTCTTAAGGTATAATCAGTAAATTAAACCGTCGGTTTTGGAAGCGGGGATGAATCTGTAAACAAAATTTCCTTTCGATTGAACTAGGTAATATGCAAACCTTGTAAATTTACCGATGACACTGTGATCTACAGTGTAAACCTTTCAAATTGAACATCATTACTAGACTATAATATTTACAATACAACAATAGAACGATTGATATGAAATGTGAAGTTTTAATTAAGTTCTAATACCATGTTATGTATCTACCTTAGGTACCTTTTCATACTAATACCTTAATCAATTTTTTATTTTTCTATTTGTCCTAAAGTTTCCGAAGATGTTATTTTGCCTACAATACTGAACGTTACATTTACTAAATTTACTGATTTATTGTAAATTTCAACGTAAATTAGCAGTTAAAATTATACGTACATTTTACATTTCTATAGTCCGTATAATTCGTTATTGCTTTTCGTTCACGAATTATTGTACACAATAATGTTTCTACCTATCTCATATATTTTATCTGACCTATTACACATACTTTATTTTATTATTATAAAGTGTTATTAGTACCTATATATAAATAAAATCTTTATGTTGGTAAACCGAGAAAACTGATTGGCATTCCATTCGCGTGTGTTCAAAATTAGTGTACAATTATTACATTATCAGTCTGGAGACTTAATTGTTATCGCGTTTTACAGTCCTAGCCATTATACATTTTACATACGTATATTTTTCTAACGATCCACAAACTTGCGAAAATTTAAACATATATTAATATTATTATGTATTTATGCATATTTAAGTGACGTATTTGCATTTAAAATAAGATTAATACAGTTATAATAATTATTTAAGTATACAGTGAGTTCCGCGTAATATGCACATAGGTAGGTAATTTTGTTAGTGTATAAAACATAACTTTTTTTAATTACCTTCTAGGTACTTAAATAGGAACCTTCATATAAATGTGTTAAAAATAAAACAAGTATACGTCATGTTATTGAGAATATAAAAATTATAATAATAATAGGTACTAACAGCAATAGTTGATTGAACTTGAGCGTCGCGTAGTTTATTTTCCTCAATAGCCTAAAAGTCGAAACATACTAGTACATTAGTATTTAATACAAAACATATATCTACCTAATTATTAGTAAATACCTCATCTTTTATCTTATGTTGAATTTAAAAAAAATGATATCTGTATTTATTTTAACAACTCGATACCTTCAGAGATGACGTTTGTTTGAAGACAATTGCCTAGTGGCTAGCCCTGATTTTGTTTATTTAAAGATGACATAAAATTAATTAGTTATTTGGTAAAGTGATTTTATTAAAACGTAACTTACATATCATTTTGAATGTATCTGTATGATTTGGTTTAGGTTTTTTTTATTCAAATATACGGTTAATCTTCCAAACCAGTAATCACATAAGTTAGGAACTCACTATAACAATATGTATCTTTAGGTACCTACGCAATAATACATATTATCGTATATTTATATTGCTGATAAAAATATGTACTTTTTTTTTATTATATTACAGTTGACTAAATATCATGTATAAAAAGCTAGTAGGTAATCCGAAATAACGCAATTTAATGTTGAACTGGTAGATTCGTATACGAATATCTCTCCTCTCTAAATAAATACATATTAAACGTGTATATATATTATATATATTTTGTACATCCACGGTTCAGTAAAAATTTACCGTGATGTGGCCAATCTCCCCTCTTAAACCCACCACTAAATGTTATTGAATTGAAAAATATTTTACAATTTGAAAATACGAATATTCATGGACATTATTTTAAAGTTTTAACTTTTTCCTTAAGCTAGAAATTTCTTGAGAAAATAAACACCAGGTTGTTTCACAGATTGCATAAAATCATAAAATATAAATTAATTTGAAATACGAATATAATAATATGTGGTCCAAATAAAATAAAAAAATTTAAGAAAATTAAAATTGAGCTATAATTTTCTTCTTTTTTTTTTTTTTTGTTTTAAACACTTGTTTTTTTCTTGTTTTATTTAACTGTTTTAAATGATTAAAACATATTGAAATTTGTTATATTTAGTTGTTTTAAATATGTTTAAAACACGTATTTAAAACAAAATGTTTTAAATAAAACAACTCTGGGTATGGGCCATTTTGAAAAATTCTTTTCTTCACACTAGAAAATTCGATCCTAAGTTCTCTAACTCGATCCTACACGATGAGTTTATATCAAAATATAGTGTATTAAAAATTCTCTTTTGGGTTACTATAAAGAGTATAGATTATAAATCGATTGCATTAATGGAAATTTTAACTTATATATAGTTATTATTTATTTATCCATTGAGTTATAATAGTTTTAACTAATAGCTAAATAAAAATAAACAAAATATATTATGTAATATTGATTATTGTACATTTTTTTTTTATGTCCCCCTCCTTAAATATTTTTTTCACGTACAGTTAATTACTAAAATAGATTTTTGATGTTATTGTACTTTTTAGATGGCCTAAATTTTATTTCCATTGGAAATGTAATAGCTCTGGTATGGCTATAAATTCTAATGTTGCATGTGTTATAGGTATTTAATGATTGCAGGATACCAAAAACCATGGCTTCCAATCCTATTAATCATACTTCTGTAATTTTTCATATTATGGACATGTTGTGTCAACACAAAATATTATAAAGTTTATAACAATTGTTTTGATATCTCGCATAGGAAAACATACAATTTCAACTTTTTCATTAGATTAAATTATTATTGTTTACGGCCATATTAATACATGGCTGCAAATAATAACCGACGAAGTGTTAGAGCCATTTCATATTAAAATACTGATATTAGTATTACTATTATTATTGTACTACATTATTGTTCATTATATGTTTGAGAAAAACTTTTGATTTTGCTAATATCACGTAGGTACCTACTATCTACTAACTTTTAATTCTGACGTTTGACGGCTGTAATATTATATATACCTACTGTTTACATCTACGTAGTGTAATATAATTAAATTAAGACTAATGGGAAACCGACTTAAAAGACTGCAAATATTTTCGTTTCTATCAAATTTAAGGAAATTTTATACAATTGCTCTTCTGAGTGTATATAATATGATATAGTTATGCGTAGTGTAGTATTAATAAGATTATTATTATTATAATTACATCCCTACTTATATTTCAATATCATATATACCTAAAAATATTTAATGTATAATACTACTAATAAATTAAACGAATTAATATTCTTTGGAATTTATCAATTATAAAGTATTTTAGGCCTAATTTATCTTTATACTATCAATTGATACAGTTTTATTTTATACTGTATACCTACAATTTACGTCCAGTGTATAATAACAAAGTCGTAATTCGTTTATATTTGATTGGAATTTGAATTACCTATCTAATAGTATTATGTAATAATTAATGAATAGGTACTAAGGTACAATATGTTATAACATATATTAAAATAATAAACGTAAAATGTATTCAAATAGAAATTATCCACACCTACGTTATTAATTAATAATTTAATTCAAGAGTCGGTCAAGTGTGTTAATTAGAATAAAGCAGCTGAGTATTTATAAATATAACTTTAAATGATAAACAACTTAATATAAATAATAAGTAATGTAACATAATGTTTTCATTTTCCATGAAAATAATTTGTACCTGTAGCCAAGAAGGTTGTGTAATGCAACAATACTGCACTTTAACCAATAGGGTTATCAACATATTTGCATTTAGTGTTTACTTGTAGTGTAGCAAATAACTGTATTTTATTAACCAGTTATACCTAATTTATTATATAAAAAAATATTAAACTTATTTTTAAATGTTTTATAATTGACATGTTATATATATACATATACATAATACATGTAATAATGACAATAAAAAATAAAAATAAATTATAATTATGACTTAATAAGTATTGTTATCCTTAGTAAATATCAATATTTTATAAATACTTATTTAAGATGCAACACCCGAAGAATTTTTCCAGTTTTTTATAAATTTATTCATTTTATGTAAAATCTAAGAGTTATTAGTAAGCAAAGTAAACAGCGTATACACATAATATATATTATGTATAGATGGCACTAAATTTAAATAAAATTTACTTATTATGAATTATGATACTGTTATGTATAGGTATTTTTACAATCACGCAGAACCTAAATTGATTACCACTAGGGTTCTTACTATTAACGGATGGTGTGGTTAATTTACGAGTAATGATTTTAAATTTTTTTACGATTCAAAAAAAAAAAATAAAAAAAATAATAAATAAATAAAATAAAAAAAAAAAAAATGTTAATGATTGAATATAAATATATTTTACTGGAAAAGTCACTTCTATAAATACAGTAATGATTTCAGGGTTGAATAGAATCAAATCAATACGTACCTACTTTACAATATGTAATATATGTACATATTTTATAAACATTTTAATATGCACATAGTTTATATGAATTTAAATCGTATTCCTTATGCATGGCTATGTTTCATTATTATTATTATTAATAAACATTCATAATATTATGTTTAATAATGGTACCTAATATCTAAAGTATATACTATAAATACACACACATAACATGCGAATATACGACACATACGTTCATAACATATAATATTCGATGATATCCATGTGTCTGTTTTTATATACATGTGGTAGCTATATAAATAATAATTTGAAGGTAGACAACGTAATACTTTTTAATTATTATTCTATTTTAAACTGAAGTTATGATTAACTCCTAATAAATAATTGTACTATGAAACCTTAATTTACTAGACGTTTAATTATAGACAATTTATTATTGAGCATAGGGCATAATCATTGTATGATTATATTTTTAAAGTTTTTTTTTTTTTTTTTTTTTATTTAGTTGACCCGCGGCTACTAAGGCCATTGGGTTTTTTTTTTTTAAGTAAGGTTGGTTCGGTAGGTTGTATTTTTTACGATTGATACGGTTGATAGCAAACACGTGTATGTGTGGCAAGGTTTTTAACCACTATGATCCCGAATGGTCACCCATCCGAGAGCTAGTAGCTGTGGCCGTTACTTACTCCCAGTGGCATTCCGCAACTGGAAGCAGCCAACGCGCCACGCCAAGCCACATTTTTTTAAAGTTTCTCTAGTTGGATTATCTATATTTTAAATACCGATATTTTTGATTTTGTGAATTTAATATTCAAATAATAATCCAAGCCAATTGTCTCAATTTTTATATTTTATAATTTACTTTTTATCAACCATCAGATGGTGATTTCTCATGAATAGTCTCATTTTTAACCCACAAAAAGTACATTTCAAAGTCAAGTTGAAAAAAGTCAAAAGCCAAAATATTATAAAATAATAAGCTTGGCCGTTAAAAATATATAAGTTGAGTATTATTAGTAAAAGTTAAATTCGTAAAACGACCAAAACTGAGCGTTAACTTTTAACCTAACCTACCATTATTATAATGAATTTTAATTTTAATATTAAAAAAAACCCAAATTCTTTGTAGAATATTATGTTATTTTATAATTTTTAAAGAATATCATTAGATTTACAGTCAGCATTATTTAATTGACATTTTGGGTGCCTTTGAATTAATTAGGTGACGAAAAATATATTTAATTTTATAATCATTATTTATAAGTGTAACTATTAGAATAGTTTAATTGTTATTGTGATATTCATGTAAAATCTGTTGTTTAACCACTAAGTACATATTTAAGTATAAATAATAATATACTAGCAGATATAAATATAAGCAGTCGTCCTTCAAACTTCTACATCCCAACGTATAAATATTTTTATGTTTATAAATGTTTATATTATTTTAGATCCTCATCGGAGCGAGGAAGAAATTAAAGCGTCTTACAACGATGCAAGAATATTATTACTAGTTTATAAAACCAATTGTTGCTTATGCAGAATATCAAAATATAAAATTTAAATAATAACGCATTTGAGACTTAATAATGCACTTTTTTTCTTAAAAAAAAAAAAAAAAATAACTATACTATACTATATTTATATAAAGTTATTGAAAATTTTTTTGAAGATTTAAGCGAGCATGCTAGCCTTGTACATATTTTTAAGTTTAACATTGATATTTACAGATCGATTAAAACCGTACGGTGATCGTATAGATCTGATTTGGGACCGGAAGTCGAGTGAGATGTTTATGCGTAAAATCTGCGCCACGAAGACGCCGACGAAAACTCCTGAAGTTCAGAAACGTAGTTCGTTGCCGATTTGACAGCAACAATATTATCATAACGATACATCAGTGTGAGAGAAGAGACCGAATACTGCAAATTAAAAATTGTATAAGATAACATCTGTAGCCTAAAATAATGGTAAGTCTAGCAATAAACACACATTAGGTAGCAGTAGTTATAATATTATGTCAACGTGACTTTTAAAATTCTTCATAAATGTTGACGATTAATTTTTGTTACCTACCTATTTCAATATATTTCTCTTGTTTAGCAGCCATTACCGATCTGTGGACTATTATCGTTTGCATGGATTCTGTTGGCGAGTTTGTCTTCGGCTGCGCATCCGCCGTCACCTTGTCCGGACACATTTACTTATGAAGGATCGGAACCGGAGAACAACAGGTGGTATGGTGAGATATCATTGCGAACTGACGAGAGCCTGGTCGGCATCCGGCTGGACGTTGAACTGGACCGACAAGCAGATTTAATGGTAGTAAGTTATGTTATATGTATAGGTATAACATAGGTTAGGTTATAGAGATAATTTCTCGTTGGATTTTTGAGTTCAGGATCAATATCTCTACACTTTTGCTTGTCGAGAGAATCGAATAGGTAATATAAATTGTTGCAGTTTTGTCCACTATAAAACAGAGCTTGCAAAAGTTATAATAGCGTTATGATTATAACGTTATATTTGACAAAAAACGATTGAAATTTGTAAACGTAATTATAGCGGAAAACGATAAATATAAATAATTAATAATAACACAAAACATAACATAACGATTAACAAAATATATGATATATATATCATCAAACAAAACATAACGCAAAACGTTATATATACTATATGATATATCATTAAAAAAAAAAAATTAATTTCAATTATTTAATTAATAAATTATAAAATATAATAAAAATTTTAATTTTGAATAAAGTATAGCAAATTTTTTTTTCAAATGCAAGCCTCGCTATAAAATAATTATGTTAATTAATGTGATTTATTGACGTCACATAATTATATAACTAATATAGGAACTGTATTTTAGTTAGAGCTTAAAATTTAAACTAAGTGTACTAACAACTATGAAAGTGACTTAAAGTGACCGTATAGTTTTGCAAAAGTTACGTTTTAATGTAATATTATTTGGTGTAGACATTTATAAATGGTACCCATACCAATAAAAATACATAGTTGTAAAATGTCAGTCAAAAAAATAATATACCAAAACTACTTAAAGAAATATATGCATATATATATATATATATAGTTTAACATTTAAATGACAAAGTTTATTTATACTCATGAACTTATATTAAATCACGATAAGTTAACAATTTCTTGTTCGTATACACTGTTTATGTATACATATGATTCAAACAAGAAACAAGATGTCACGTTATTTAATTCGGTATTTTCAAATATTATTCTATGCTTGTTTATGATTCAAACTCTGGTATTAGACTGAGTCACAAAATAATTTTGTAACACTGATAATTTAAACGTGTTTAGCTGCATGTATAATTTATAATAACAATAAATCGTGCAATTAAGAACTGTCAAGTATTTATCCATTGTTAAGTATTATCATTAGTGAATGATGGAATTTAAAAATTATTACGTTTATACGATTCTAGTCATGGATGGGAGAGATAACGACAAACGACAATATGAAATTTACTGTGTTGAACTTAAACCAAAAATTGAAGCCCGGACCCCCGGTGCTGTCTAGGATCATGGTCAAGTTTAACCGGTCGACGGGAAGTCCAAAATTGCGGTTCATTCGACTTAATGGCCGAAAGATCTGCCCTGAAGATTCCAGTAAGTGACCTTTTATATTATAAACTTATTTATGTAATATGTGTTATATATACATAATTATGACTAATAACAATCTTATTATTTTGGTTTGCAAACTATTGTTACCAATATTACAAATATGATCAGGATATTATACCAGGTTCCTCTGCAATAAAATAGTTAAGATAAAATTATAAATTAATGTGAAAAAATGATTTATTTATTTTTACACCTTAGAAATTCTATTTTTTATATTTTTTAGTCTAAATGTAGGTGAAAGCTATATTGTAATATTGTTATTTTTAATATTTATTTTAACGCGTGACCTTGGACATTTTAAAATTTAATATAATAATTACAAGTATCAGAACAGTAACATTCAATTTTCGTAATCATCTTAAATGAATATTACATAAAAAAAAAAAAAGACACAAAATAACCTTAAGAATAAGTTAAAACCACTGAAGGAATACTGGATGAGATAAAGTAACATGACAATATTTATTTAATTCAAAAGAATTTTTGTGTAATAATAATAATTATTATTATATATATATGTCTATATGGTGTACCTTGTCACACATTTTTAAAAGCTTCTAGAATATAAGTATGTAATATAAAATTATCTGGTCAATCGATTCAAATTTAACTATTGTAAGACATATTAAACTTTTATAAAATGTAGCATTTGGAATTTAAAACTATTTAAAAATAATTTCTTAAGATAAAAAATTGTTATTTAATATCAGAGCTTGCAAATGTTATGATAACGTTATGATTACAACGTTATATTTGACAAAAAAACGATTGAAATTTTTAAACGTAATTATAACGGAAAACAATAAACATAAATAATTAAATAACACACAAAAAAAAACATAACGATTAACAAAATATATGATATATATCATCAAACAAAACATAACGCAAAACGTTATATATAGTATATCATTAAAAAAAAAAAATTAATTTCAATTATTTAATTAATTAATTATAAAATATAATAAAAATTTTAATTCTGAATAACGATAAACGCAAAAGTTGAATGACGTTTTAATTCTAAATAACGATAAACGCAAAAGTTGAACAACGTTTTAATTCTGAATAACGATAAATGCAAAATTTGTATAACGTTTTAATTGTAAATAACGTATAACAAAATTATTTTTTCAAATGCAAGCCTTGCTTAATATTCATTAGATATGTAAAGTGTCGTCGGTGGGACGCTTTTTTCTTAAGTTTATGTTACACTTAGGTAAATTATATAATTATTTATTATATAACTTATGCTTTTGTTTATGTGTGGTCTCAGACTTTAATATTTGAGGTACCTTAATATATTTATTACTTTGTATTCGACCAAAAAAAGTTATTGTCAATTGACCTTTCTTGAGTTAGGGGCAGGGGAGAAGGAATCAAGAGTTTGTGGTTTTTTTTTCAAATTATGTTATGATCATTATCCACAACCTTTTCTTACCGTCTTAGGTTACAGTTCCGGGTACGATGAGGAAACTCAGCCCTCGCAAAAGCCCCCGCAGAGTACCAGGAGACCGGATCCCGAGTTCGTTGGCATTCCGGATGAGTATCCGACAAATAGCGGTAACAACAACTATCACGATAAGAACCAGTACCCGGTAAACGGCGGCAGCAATATCCACCGTGATAAAGACACCCCGGTCAAACAAGGATCTGATTATTCGCCGCAGGGTGGACGTCCGACGACCACCGAAGGGCCGTACACGACTCGAAAGACGAACAGAGGAACGACAACGACAACAACGACGGCCCCCCGAAATCCTTATGAACAGGGAAATAGCAACGGCAACAGACCGAACACGGTAACGTTGCAGGCCAGCAGCACCGATCCAAACAGTGAAATAAACGGCGTCATCAACGGATTGCTGCAAAACCAGAACAGTAGAAATAAGACCGTCATCATAACCGTCATCGAGGACAACCAGAATAACCGACCGAGCGGCGGTACCGGTGGTGGTCGACCGGAGACCGTGGACAGCAACAGTAATAGGCCGAGTTCCGTCAACAACAACAGACCATCCGGCCAGCAAACCAGCCAAAAGCCTAACAGCAATCAACAGATCAACAGCAACGGAAACGGTGGATCTTATACAGGGTTAGTCATGAAATCTCGGTTAAGGCATTAGTTGATGAAACGCCGTGTATGTGATCCCGAAAAGAACGGAGATGAGTAGCCGCAGATCTAGAAAACTAAAATAGGGTGGGGACTAAATTTTTTCAAAAATAATACGTTAATAGTTTTACGTAATACGTAGATACGATTTGATGACAATATTAACAATTTTAAATGTGTTTTAAATTTATGGGTTTTTAGACGTATGAAATATTTATCATGTAAATAAATGTATAACGCGTACACACTACACAATTTCAAACGAGGGGGAGACATTTAAGTTCCCTTAGTCTCCCTTGGATCTGCGCTTGGGGACGAGGAGAATATGACTCGAGCACTGCGCGTTTATTATGTACAATAATGCACGGTGTTTTAATGTAGTCCACGATAGTTATTTAATATTAAAAATAATTCGAATAACGCTTTTTTTTTTTTGGAGCGCTGATGAGATAAAATTATATTCCTATTGTTATTTTTCGACGAAATTATTCTACCAAATTGTATTCTTCGTGTCAATATTACTTGAGTAATTTCATAAAAAAAATCCAAAAATCTATAAGCTCACTAGAGATCATATACCGACCGATCACCTTTGGATAATTTTACAGCCAGTTTTAAATGTATCCTATAGAGATACTTCGGGTATTTAATATTATTTTAAATTTATGGAAACTAAAATACTAGTATTTTGAATGCCGTGGTTTTTAAGGCGTTACTATTTATATGAGCCGTTAAAAAAACCCGTATTTGAAAATAATTTAAAAATTTTTGTTTAAAATTTACAATTTTTATTCACAGCTCTGTTAACTCGCTCTCGTCTAGTGGACCGTCGTGCGGAGAAGTCAAGATGGCCGTACCGCTGGTGACCGCAGGACAGTCCACGTACAGGGGACAATGGCCCTGGCACGTGGCGCTCTATCTGATCGAAGGCATAAACTTGAGCTACCATTGTGGTGGGTCGCTCATATCTAAAAACAAAGTCATAACGGGTAAGCTGCGTATTTTGAAACGGTTATTACTTCTGATGAAATTGTTATGAAAAGGGTGTACCTTACCTTTCGTCTAACAAATTGCGTGCCAATCCGTAATTGTATATATGTGTATATTTTTAAATGCAAATTATCTTTTCTGTAGGTATGGAATATTATACGATTAATTTTAATATCTATCGTTAGCACCTACACAAAAGAAGATTATATCAACTTAACTACAGATAAGCTGTATTTATATTATGTATTATCCAACCTTTAAAAATTCAATAAACATATAATTCTAAGAATTGAACATCAAGTTTAATTATAGTGATATAGAATTATTCGCCAATGCTGACTACGTAAAATTACCATAATATTATTGGCATCTATTGACGTCGTTCTACGTTCGCGGAAGCTGTATTATTTATACCTATAAAACATGCAATTTTTTATGAAGTATTATATGATAGAACGTAATTATTTTATATAATGGTATTCGATTTTTTTATTTTGCTCGTTTTAATTTATATTCTATTACTCTGCAGATAGTATGGAATATTATTTTCACATAATATAATATATATTTTTAAGTTCCAATGCCCAAAACTACAGAATACAATTTTAAATTTTGTAATGTTCGATAATTCTTATATGATAATATTTTCATTTTTTCAGCCGCTCATTGCGTAACACACAAACTAAACGACGCAGTCCTTAATTCAACCAAAATAGTCGTCTACCTCGGCAAATACCATCAGCTCCAGTACAGCGACGAGCTGGGTGTCCAGATCAAACAGGTGATATGAACGGAAATGTGACTCTTGTCCTATTACCATGGCTTTATTAACCGTTTTTATCGTCTTTAATTACCCATTATTTTTCCATCACAGGTTGTCCGGATAAAGGTGTATCCGTCTTACAACAGTAGCTCATATTTCGGAGACATAGCTATATTGACGCTGTCTTCGGACGCTGAAATCACAAGCTACGTGGTTCCCGTGTGTCTTTGGGAAGAGAGGTCCGACAGTTTGGACGACATCATTGACAAAGACGGAACGGTTAGAATAGTTTTTACTTCACTAAATTTAATTGTATGAACTATATTACCATAATGTCAGTCGTACAGCACGTCTTATTAAATGTGTGAGATTAATTTAGGGCTTAGAAGTTGATGCATTTTGCATTTTTTTTTTTGGAACTTATTATACGATGCTCTCCTGGCCACAAATATGTTTCGTAAATATGTAAATCTAAATAACTAATTTTTATTTTACATTTTTTTGACTTTTTTTACTTTTTAAGTCATTTTTAGGTCCTATCTTCCTTTTTAGTTCAATTTCTTGTATTTATAATTAGATTTGGTCAATTAACATCTTTACACTCGTAGTTTTTTGTTTTACACACTGTATAGGTATAATTACCTATATTTAAAAAAAATAAATAATATTTTACACAAGTTATATACAGGTTAGGTAAAGATAAAGATTCGATAGAATGAAGCAATTGTTTACTGTCATTTTTACTTTTGACAATATAAAATATGGTTTAATAGTACTATGAGTAGTTTTGAGTAATTTTTATTATTATTACTATTCTTTGAAAAAAAATGTATTTTTACTAATTTTAAACAAATATTTATAATTTTTTAGGTTATTTTTTTGTCATTTTTAAGTAATATTTGCATTTTTTAGGTTATTTTTAATATTTTTAAGGTCATCAACTTTTGAGCTCTAGTGATAATACAGAATAAATCTCATTGATTGTTCATTATTTGTATTTAAATTGTAATAGTACGATTTTTTCATCTGTAAAATACGTAATATCTGTATGTAAATTTCACTAGTACTAACGTTTGCCCTGTAAGATTAGTGTAAATTCCAACAATATTATATTTTGACTAATCGCATTTTAAATTTTGTTAAAACTGAATTTGATGATCTAGGTGCCACTGGACACAATTAGATATAATAAACTTCTTGTTAATTGTTTCTTTCTTTTCGATTTAACCTATTATTGTCGATTATTGATTTACTATTTTGTTACATTTTTTTTAAATTTCATGTCCTGTAGGTCGTCGGTTGGGGCTTCGACGAAAACAACACGCCGACCGAAGAATTGAAAATGGCTAAGATGCCGGTCGTATCACAAGAAACGTGTCTCTGGAGCTATCCGCAATTTTATTCAGAATTCACGTCTGACAGAACATTTTGCGCCGGCTTCAGAAATGGTAATTTATTCACTATATACACTAGGAAAATTTATATAATTTTTATATTTATTTTATACAGTAGTGTTGCATTTCGTTATGAAAAACAATGGTGGTTAGAAATTGATGTTAAATGCACGTGTGATTTTTAACATTATGTTTTGTTAGACATTAATATCGTAGTTTACTTCTCTAATGTCGATAGAGTGTCGCCTACTTTTCTTCATTTCTGGAGGGGGTATTATTATGAAAATATCATTTATTTGTAGGTGTATTGATTTATATATTTTGTTATGCGACAAAATCATACTGGTTTTAATGATCAACATATTATATAATATCAAAAACAGGAGAACTACTTAAATAAGTCATATTAATAATATTACTTGCTCAAGAGTTTAATTTGTATTTTACGTAAGTACATGTGATGTATAGAGGATTTTAATTTTTTTGAACCTAGCATACTTTGGAAAATACAAAGAATTTCACGTTGTCAGAACGAATATTGACAATCGTAGACAAATGTAGAATACTTAAAAAATATCTTGTACCTCTTTTTTAAGATATTGCCCAAAACGTGTAAATAATGTACAGAATACGGTAGTATTTCGTTTTGTATAACATTATTGTAATCCGATATAGGTACAAGCGTATGCAATGGAGACAGTGGCGGTGGCATGGTATTCGTAAGGAACCATAGGTGGTATCTGAGAGGTATCGTGTCCCTGACTGTGGCCAAAGACGGACTTCGGGTATGCGACACCAAACATTATGTTGTGTTCACGGACGTGGCCAAGTACTCAGACTTCGTCAGGAAGAACTTATAATTATGGCGTACATCTTTTGATCAATGATATATTAATATGATATATTATTACAATGTACCTGTACTATGCATCGATCGAACGCATACGACTTTGTAAATTATTTATAGTGTACCTATACTTGTCTTTAGCCGATTCCTATTGTACGCGGACTTCGCGTTTATATTGTGAACGTTTTATACTATTTTTACAGTAAGAAAAAAACAAAAATTGTTCTAGCGTAACAATAATGATAAGAATAACAAAAAAAAGAAAAGAAAATCAATTTTACTCGTATTCATTTATTCATTATTGTACGTTGTATCGACGTATCGTTTGACGAGTAATAATAGTAAGTAGGTAGGTACGTTTATTAAATATTACAGTTGTGACAAATGCCCCGAGCGAATTTTACGCGATATAAAAACGATCGTCGATGATCTGTTTAACTACCACCGGGTTTAGGCAACATTTGACTTAGCTGCTGTCCGCCGGACAGCATCGATGCCAAGTTGGCCATGTTCATGCCGCGCAAAGGCATGACAATGGCGGAAAATCCTCCTAAAATCAGCGTCGGGCTCTGGCCGCTGCCGTCTCCCTGCTGGGACGACGGATACAGCGTTCCGGCCCCGGGAATCCCGGTCGGCAGGCCCCCGAACGGCAGCGTCGATCCCCCGTTATCGGTGGCGGGCGCGGTCGATGTCGTTTCGCCGCCTCCGGGTACGATACCGGAAAGCGGACCTTTGGCTAGCATTTCGTGTTCCGTGGTCGAGGTGGAATGTGTGCTGTCGTTGCCGTCAATCAGTGGCGTTTCAAGTTGGCCGGCTATCGCTTTCGCCTTCCGGTCATCCGCCGTCTCCTGAAAACAATATATTATACGTTGGCAATGCGATAGTACGGCACGAATGATACAACGGACGAACGAAAAATCTCAAACCGTTACGCACATGATAATAATTTTATTATAATGATGAAATATTAACAATTTTACTGCATCCATTGTAATAATTAAGTTGTTATACTCTATAGGTGTGAACTAAATATGGTCGACAACAAACTGTACAATGCGATTATTTGTGAAAATGTGCGTATATTATGTTATTTTGAATATTTTACATGATACATATATTAATCAAAGTGACATATATATTTAATATGTTTCGTCGTTGTTATTTTATGTGATCATCACAATTATCAGACGTCGATCGCTGATTTATCCTCGAGTTCGGTTTTGAACTAGCCGATTATCGAATGATCTTTATTATTTTGCAATGGTGTGTTTTCGTGGACCTCGTCTGTGTAATTATCGATCATATTTTCCATTGCAGAGTCAACATTGTACAACCCTTGAATAAAGTATTCAATTGGGGTTTCATTTTCGTTATCATCATTTTTCAGTACTCGGTTTTCGACAGTTTTAGATGCCTATAATTTAGTAAAAATATATTATAATAGATAATCATCGATATTTTGTTATTGAAACACTACCTACACCTTGTAATCACGAGGCACTATATAAAATATATAGTACCAAAATTGTGATGACCCCAATAAAACAGGCGTAATATAATATAAAAATATGCATTTAACTGTTGTCATTAAAAAAAAAAAAAACAATTTGGTTCGTCTATGTCACAATAATTATTTTTTCACATAAGTGCACTCATTAAAACATTAACCATTTACAATATTTTAATTCAATTAAATTGTATTCGAAGATATTATAGGAGAATATGATGTAAAACTGACACAGGGGTAAAATCGATATTGTTTAACACGCATTATTGTATGGAAGATAATAATTATCGGTTTCTTATTAATTTCATTTCTTATCATAAACTATGTTGTTATCACTGTAAAAATAAACTAAAACGTTTTTTTTGTATTGTTATCCGACAATTTGTCATCAATAATTTCATTAAATATATGTTTTGGGGCAAAATAAATTGTACGTTAGTTGTCTTAATGTTTACTCATTGATATCTATTTATTTTTAGTCAAGGAGCAGGAAGTCCACCAAATAAATAACCATTCATTATTATAAAATAAAAATGTTAAACATATATTTTAGATACTAACTATAGTAATTTTTTAATTAGTTTTATATTTTAAAAATAGTTAGAAATTATATAAGAAAGTCTTGTCGGATAAATTGGTGTGTGAATAATTTTAGATGTGCAGTTCAAGATTGTTATTCACAATAATGTAACTTATACAAAAGCTATTATAGAATATGAACTATGAAGTTTTATTTACTACATTATATAACTATGTCAGGAGATTGAAGATAAAAGAAATTAATTTATATGATCTCATCTTTGGAAAAAGTACCTATATATTAAAAACAAAATAATTATTTACCACATTTTTAACGAAAATTAATTTACATAACAGCTTCAAAAACTAATATTTTCTTGTTAAAACATTTATGTATAATTAGTTGATATGTCCTGAATAGTTGTATTTTGCATATTACTTATAAATGATCTTGACTTATTTATATATTCCTAGTTTAAATTGAGAAGTAAAAATTATTTTACATTTTTATGTCTACATAAAAATTTAAATGTTTAATGTTTTTAATTATTTAATAATTTCTAATAATAATATTTAATTTTAATAAGTAGATTTTTATAAGATCATCAAAACTTAAGAATTAAATTTTAATTTTGATTTATACAAACTTTAATCTTGTTATTATTTATAAAAATATGTTTCAAATACTTGTTAGGTTTAAAACAATTTGATAAAATTATGAATTATGTTTCAAGTACCTTTTGTTGTTAAAATTAGTTTTTTTGGTTGGTTTTATTGCATTTTAATTAAGTTATTTATATTTTAAAATATATAGACGGTTTAAGAAACTTATATTACTAAAGTAACAATACTTAAATATAGTAGTTATTTGTATGTGACTTGGTAAGTTTTTTTGGAAAAAAACTTAATATTGAATTTTTATCCATAATTATTTTAGTACCTGTTATACCAAATACCAGTGTTATTCCATGCATCGGTATATCGGTATCGCCTCATTATAAAATCGATAAAACTGTTAATGACTTGCTTAAAAATAAAAATGAATGACATTCACTGTATTTAATTTTCATAGACAAGAAGTTATTTAATACATCTGTGCTAATATATCAAGATGTGTACTTTAAGATTCTGAATAATTATGAGGGTATTCATTTTTTTTTTTTTTGTTCCCAACTAGTATAATAAGATTATGATAACATTACATATTACGTTATATGATATATAGAATGTAATTTATTATATCATAGTATCGTAGCTTGTTGTAGTAATACTGTTCTAGGAACACTTATTATAACACAAAATCCCAATCTATGAGATAACATTATTTTAATAGTTACTTAATGTTAATATAATGATATTAGTTATTGAGAACATTATATTATTTATTACGATATAGGAACATAATTTTTTTAAAAGGACTGAGGCTATACTCAAGAATTACTATAGCTGTACCAGATGTTAAAGAAATTATAATGCATGTCAGACGCGTTTATTTATTTTCAGTCTAAAATTTATTGAAGAAAATGTTCGACTTAGGTACATTAATTTATGTAATTGAATTATCTAAATTTATACACATCACTTACAACTACTATATTGTTAAATATCTAAGTGCGCGGGTTAGGTTAGGTTAGGTTAAATCTAATATTTTATTTTATCTGAAGTATTTTGTAAAGGATTCTTATACAAGTATTTAAATTATCAAGACACAATCATGAGTATATAAATATGAATTTTTACTATCATCATAACCATTAAAAATGTTTTCAGTATTTATGTGTACAATTCTAAAATCAAAAAGGCGTTCAACTAGAAACATTGAACTAATCGGACTCGCTGGACGTTTCTGAACAATTGTGTGACTTAAAAACGTGTGTGCTCAGCAATCGAAGGAACACATCAATATAATTACGTTTTGTGTACAGCGTTATGTCAATTAACAATTATTTATGGAGTGTTACGAACGGCGTGAACGCTATGTCGTGTTCTGTATACAAGAAACGACAGAGACTTGAACGCGCGTTCGCGTGATCGAAGTAAAAAGACGGACTTACGCGGGGGTATCTACAGTTGTAAGCCGTAAGCATTGACGTTATATAAACCAAAAAAAAAAAAATAAATAAATATAAAAAAATTCCGGCACGCGCGTGTGTGTGTGGGTGTGTGTCTGTGTGTGTGCGCGTAATACAATGATCGTAAAATAAAAAATAGGTATAAAATCATTAAGTTTGCGTTCGTCGACGATATAATAATAATAATATTGTAGTGCAGCGCCTAAAACAGTGCATATAAAAAATTAATAATAATAATATTGTCGACGAAACGCGTTACACGTCTTATTGCAGGTGGCGGTGAGATGAGATGACAATAACGATACGACATCGGAAACGGCGTCGCGCGTCACGACACGCATCGCGTTGTCACAATAATAAATCATCGTGTATAATTAAAGTGCAGTAGACCCGCGACGGCGGACCCGGGCGGATCAGAACCGGACGTCCGCGAACATGTCGCGCAGCTTTTCCCGGGTGTTGTCGTAGTATTCGGACCGGAAGAACGCGTCGACAGCCCGCACCGGGTCCCGGGCCGCGGCGGCGTCGACGTCCGCGGGGCCGGTGGACCGGAACCATCCGTTCATGCCCTCGCCGAACTGGATCAGCCCCTGCGACATCATGTCGCACGTACCGTGCTGGAACTTTTCGGAACCGACGAACGTGCCCATGTACGACCACGGGGGCGGCGCGTTGCCCATCATGCCGCCCATTGACGACATGCCCTGGCCGCCGGCCTTGCACACGGCTTTTTGGAATTCGTCCGACACCATGTAGTCGCCGATCATGTTGCGCGTGATCGCGCCGTCGTCGCGTCCGGCGCCGTCCCCGAACCGCTTGACCATCTGATCGGCGGCGGCCTTCCGCCAGATCCGCTCGAACGCTTCCGAGTCGAACAGCTCGGTCAGCGAACCGGGCAACACCTACGGCCAACACACGACTAGTGTTTGTGGGCGAGTTTGTTTGTATTTATACGTGTGTGTGTGTGTGTGTGTGTGTGTGTGTGTGTGTGTGTGTGTACGCGTGTTTGGGGAGGGTTTTCTGCGAGGATGGCGCGCGCGTTTCGAAAACGTTTCGGCACCGCAACGCAGTCTCTGAACGTTTTGTCACCGGTCAACTATTTGTTTCCGTCTATCAGAGTTTGAAATTCGAGATCCTGTATACGCGTATGCTTTTGTATGATGTACCTACACACACGACGTACGGTATGTAATATGTGTACAAATTGATCAATTAAAGCGCCCACGTCAATTATTTCGGATTGGTTTTAAATTTTTTGAAAATATAATTTTTATACGGTTTGAATTGATTTTTGAAAAAAACGAATATTTTTTACAATTTTTTTGGCACTTTTTTTTAAAAGTTTTTCATACATTTTTCATTTCACACTCCAAAACTGAATACTTTTTAAAATATCTACTTAGATACACAAAAACCGAATCTCGTGAAATATTAATAATTTATGTTGTCATTCACAAAAAAAAGAAAGAAAGCTTTAAGAAACGTTACAACTATTACGATGGAGTTGTACGTGTGCGCACATAAAATTATAACATCTTTCCAGCAAGCATACATTCAAGAATATAAGCATAATGTTTTCTTCTACGAACTGCTTGAAAACTACAGTATCTAATCCACTTTGTTTTAATATTTATGCATCTATGGGGTTATAAAATATACATTTTCGATTTTTTTTTTCAAAGTAGACTCAAACATTATTAAAAACATTTTTATAGATTTTACGTGACCAAATGATGATAGATAAAATTAAATATTTTGTTTTACGCGTTTTATATAATTATCCACTTATATTAATGATAAAATTAATAACTATTTGTTTCTCACGAATAAATTGAAATAAGTAATATATTAATATTTGAAAAGATAAAAACCTTTTTGTACCATAAACGAAAAAATAAACTCTGAATTATATCGGCCAATCTTGTTTCATAGAAGTTGAGGCTCGAGGATGCCATTTTTTATAGGTTCTGAAAGTGTAATTAATTGTTTTACCCGTGTCATATGAAATTTCATATTATACACGTGTTTTTCAGATACTTAACAATTTTTAGAGTCAAATCTATAAAGACGATGTCTTAAATAATTATAATAATATATATGTAAAATAACCGGTTATTAGTGTATTTTACGATTTTACTGTCGTGTAATTATTGGAAATTGGCTGATTAAATGCTTTTTGAATATTAGATATTATTTGCATGAACGATGTAGGAAATTATTTCTATTATATATGTTTATTTTTGAGCTGTATGGTGAGATGGATTTGATCTTAGAATACCTTGACGTTTCCAAGATTTTGTGGATGCTCGATCTCAGAATCCGTGGGAAATAGCAGTCTGCTGTTATTTTAAATTCAAAAAATATTTAACATATAATAAATATACGGCCGTAGAAGTTTCAATTATTAATTTATGCGTATACATTGCACACACATACAAACATGCACACACACGTCACACACACACACACACACATAAATACATATATTTATAATAATATATTAAACACAGTTGCAGGGAAATACTACATATTTTAATTTTCAAACTTGATTAATTACTTAATTTTCTAATTGATTTATTGAGTTAGCCAGTGTTATCTATAATGATAACTTAAGATTTTTCCAGTTAATGAGAAAAACAGCACATCAAAAACCATGTTTAAGTATACCAGCTGTTCAAAAGTTTGGAAACTCTTAAAATATACTGTATGTATATTTTAATACATACATGGAGCAATAACAGATAACTCTGATATACATTTAATTTGTAAAATATTTAATAACCTCATTAGTTATATCGAGCGGTCGGTTATTGGGTCACATTTTATTTAACTGAAAAAAAAATTATTTTTTTACCTTTTATTATCCGAAGATTGGGTCACAAATTAAATCTATGTTTTTAAAGTGTATCCGGAGATTGAACCATAAATGTATAATACAAGAATATATGAATATATTATAAAAACGTTTATAAACTATTTTTTTATAATACATAAAAATTTAATGGTGGCCCAAATACCGGGTACAATAATAAAAATTGTTTAAAATAGTGGCCCAATCACCGGAATTGCCTATTATTAATGTATAACAGAAGTGGCCCGATTACCGCATGGCTTTTTGAAGAAATGTTAATTGTGGCCCAATTTCCGGGCGCCCTTTATATCATATTATTGTTTTCTAGTCCCAATTAGTCTAATGCCAGTTCCCCAACTTATTTAACAGCTTGTATATATATATACGTACTATAATTATAATTATTTATTATATAATAATTGTATTTAAATCTGATTAATGACTATTTTTTTTTCATTGATAGCATTCTAAATATAAAATAAACAAATAAATATTCACTGACTAAATAATTTAGCTGACATAAATAAGCAATTAATTAAATATTACAGATGAACAGTAGCGTGTAATAACAATAATCGTTAAATTTGAAGCTCTTTTTGTCACAAAATGAAAATTAATAGATTATACATTTTCATAGTCATTATGCGCGATCCAAGTGGTAGTTAAACAAAAACTGTTCAACTGAGTAAGTTTGTATTTATCTTAATTGTAAATTAGAACTTTTGGAGTTCAATATTTTTGTTTTTTATCGATTGGCTTATAAATTAACGTTCTTAATGTTCGTTTAAATCAGTGAAATTTAAATAAGTATTTAAAAATAATAGCAGCTCAATTTAATATTTTTTTTGATTTAATTATCTTAATATTGTACTCATAGTACAGTACGATATTAAAATAACTTAATTGTAGGTTATTATAGTCAAAACAATATTTGTACATACTCCGAGTATTAAAATACTATAAAATAATACGTTAAAACAAAATATAGTCAAAAGATGAAACCGTAAATCGTTTTACTTGTATTTATTTAAAAATTCGTTTTATTGTCATAATACCTTCATCCATATTAATTTTAAACGATAAAATTAACTACAGTGATAGGTAAAATATGATATATGTATGCTTGTGTGCGTGTACTTGGGGTAGGCGTTCACCCAGAACTATTGCATATGCATAATCGGCTATTTTACTTGTACGCCATGTGCGCTACTCCGGAACGTTCATTTTATGATTGAGTGATACATATTTATTACAATGCGAGTTAGGATACATAATTTTATGATCAACAATAGTGATTTATATATTTAACGATAAAAAAGTGTATCATTCTTTTAAAAAGTAATTTTATTTTTTTAGAAATGTTACGGTATACTTTTAATTTATACTTAATAATTACTATGTCAAAACAGTAGAACTTTCTGCTATTTTACTAACGTACAATATTTTAAAACGTAATAATATTGATAGATATTTTATTTATTATTATTTACCGTCGTAAACAATTAAAACCGTTATTGCAACTATTATGGTATTCAAAAATTAATTATTATTTTTATTTACTGTGGCACAAGTATAATATTTTATAACTATACAATTAATTGTATTATTTAAAACTATACGCGATCGGTACAAACTCATCACTGTATTTTATGGTTATGATGGAATCCGTGCTATATTTTTCTACCCAATGCTAAACGCAAGATATTACATTATAATCATTTTTTACTCGAATTCTAAATAAAAAAAAATAGATTTTGTTGAACAAGATAATAATTACGAAGTGATTTTAACCGTATCTTTTACCTGGTTATAAAAATTGAAGACTATGACCGTTACGATTAGTTCTCGTCAACATTCAAATATGGATTTTTCTGAATTTATCCTGCTCTGATTTAATTTAAATTGTAATAATTACTTAGAGTTTACCTTAAACTTAAAGCGTAATTTTGGACTACAACCAGCGATGAATTTTAACGGAAATTCGTATAAGATGTTTTTGGTTGGCATTTATATTTATAATATTATAAACTGATTTATACAGTATCTTTATCTTTATTTTGTAAATCAAATAAACAATTTAAATAACTTTTGCGATTAATATTTTTTAAAACAAATGACTTAAGTGAGTTTTTTTCAAGTCGTACTATAATGGTATTTGGTTGTGATTAGAATTCTAAAAACACATTTCATTTAAACCTACTTTTATTATAATTTTAAAGATAGTTTCCATGATAATTCAATACATTCAATATCTAAGTATATCACAGTATTCTATTATTATTGTAACCACGAATTTTTTTATTCGTCGATGTAATAATTAATAAATATACCTATTTTTTTAGAATTTTCTAGCTTAACAACTAATTTTTAAAAGATAACTTGGAATTTCCAACATTAAATATTTTATTTATTTATACTTTTCATTGAAAAATAGCTGAGCAATGATATTTTAAATATTGAATAATATTTACGTGTGTATTGTGTGAAATTATTATTATTTATGTTAAATTGAGGTAAGTGAGTAGAAGTTGAGTTTTCAACTAATATATTTTTAAAATTTTTCTTAATAGTTAAAAATTGTTTAATAGTTTCAGAATTAAAATATCTATTTATAACTAGTAACTACAATACATTTTTATTAGTGTTCTTAATTATTTTTATTTTAAATTTGTAGACTCGTATTATATTTTATTTTCTCTATATGATATTATTAACTTTAAAAAAATATAAAATTATTAGTTTTTTTTCATAATAATATATTAGATATTGTTAATCATATGCCGTGTAATTAAAACAAAAAGTATGAGAGAAGATTAAGACATTAGTGAGAGACCAATTATTAGCAATTTCACACAGCTCAAAGACAACCGATCAATATAAGTAATTTGGTGCGTGTCGTACACGAAAATAATTTACTAAATTCAAAATTCTGTTACTTAGACATTTTTTTTAACTTAAAAATTGAGTCAATAACTTAAATTCATAAAAATAAATAAAGAAAAATTGATGGTAAAAATGGGTTATTGACGTAAAACAAATATAGATAGTAGTACTTTACTCGTTTAAAACTTTAATAAAATTAATTTTTATGTAGGTATATACGTATATACATAAGTAAAAAAATAAATTATAATATGTATGTTTTACTATCTTGAGGAAGAAACAAAAATAACGATTTACACGTTGATATTAAAAATAGTTTAATTCATCTTGTATAATGTTGTATTTATATGATAAAATATCAATATGTTGAAGAAAATAGCGAAAATGTGTTTTTTAAGTCTATCAGAAATTAATGAGTGTATTTCTATTATATATTGAATTATGCTCAAGCAGTCAAGCAATATAAAGAAAATGGATATTCAAATATTTTAAATTCGATGAAAAAAAGATTTATCTGAGTAACTAAACTAAGAACGTAATTTTTGACACACGATTCAACGACAAAATTTGACACAATTCATAAACCACAAAAATTAAAAAGTTCAAGCCAGTAGGTATACCCAATTATACAATCAGAATTTGTTCTTATTTTATACCATTCTACGTACGCGTAGGTATATTTTAATATATTTGAATGAACCTAATTATTCCTATACCATGGTGGTATCCTCTAAATTGTTTTACTTAATAAAATATAATAACCAATAAATTTACATATTATATAGTCACTGAAGAATAGGTATTTTAATATTGAGTATATACTCACAGCAGTCAAATCTTCGCGTGTGACTGACGGAGCTGCGTCCACATAAAAAGCATCTGAAAAAAATAAAAATAAATATAGTTAAATATCATAACTACATGATTATTTACAGAGGCGCAAAAACACGAATGTTTAATATATTATTGAGAACTAAAACTTTTCAGTGCAATTGAAAACTATACTGTTATTATTATTAAGTGACAATACTTTACTTTTTTTCATACCACACTGCAGTATTGTATGCGTGAATATCAAAATCGTTAAGGTTTTTAACATTTTCAGAGTATAATATTATAATCTTAAACCGACTATTATAGAAAAAATATGTATCTCAACTAGGATAGAAACAAATTGTACGAGTATTGATTTAAATTAAATATGTTCAAACTCGTAAGCAATGTAAAATGTATCACTATAATGAGCGACTGTAAATGATTTCGTGTAATGTGTTGCGCGTCAAAGTTGTACAAATGTCAACAGTTTAAGATTTAAACTTAATATGGTGTTGTTTTCGAATAATCGAAATTAAAAAAAAAAAAATATGTTTAAATGGTCATTACGCACTAATAGTTACAGATCGGTGTGATAAACGTTACGTGTACTGTGACACGATTAGTGGGTCGATCGAGCAATGCGATGGATACAAAAACAACGCGTGTAACTACTTAAAAGAAATTAATAAAATTAGAACATTCCTCGGCTTCCGTGCGATAATGTTCGTGTTTGCGCGTAATAACTGACCTCCAGTTTAGCGAAAGCATCCCGATACAGCAGATAATGGTAAGACATAGCGATTGAAACGCGGTAAAAGACTTGGCGTTTACGACCGCGCGTTGTTTTTAATCGAAATTAAAAATTCGCTCAGAGGCTTTTAAACGTTATCAGCAATACGTTGCGGGCGTGTTGCTGCAGCAGCACATTACACCATTAATTACGGTCGTAAACATAATGAATTATTACTGTCATATGATACACAGCTGCGATAGGGCGCCCGTAATTATTACCTAAGATATACCTATTACCTACGCGGCGTTTGGTCGGACTTACCCTTGACGAGGCACACCAACACGATCAGCGCGAAATTCTTGGGCGACATGATGACTTCGGTCTATCTTGTTGGCGGGCGTTGGTACAATATACGACGACAACAATAATTATATAATGATAATAGTGCAAGCAAAGTATGATATTATACGTGGTCGGATCGTATGGAGTGTAATGTACACCGTGCACAGTGGCGACTCGCAAACGCCCAGTCGCTTATAAATTGTTTTTTTTTTGATAGCGGCGACACGAGCGTTTCCGGTGATGGGCTGCGCTAATCGTTCTAATTTATTGCGACCGTTTCCCGTGCAGACGACCCTCGCCGCAATCGGGACAGGGGCGATCGCGAATGCAAATCCGCCCGCGTCTTATCTCTGCTCCGTCAATTATTGTGTAAAACGCTAATGGACCCGGTCGGTCAACCCGCCCGAGTGCTATGCAAATTCTTCGCGGGCCGCTAATGGGAAACGGACATTGGCATTTGGCTGCTTTATAAATCCAAAACAACCGACCAGCATAACATCAGTCGTGAATGGTCTGTGAACAAGAATTACAACAACCGCCATTCGAATCGTCATCGTATTGACAAACCACGTGCAATACGATTTATTTACATTCGAGTCCCGCCGTCAAGACATCCGACATGCACGTGAACATTGCAGTCGTCCTGTTCGCCGTGGCGACGCTTCTCCAGCAGTCTCATTGTAAGTACATATTTTAACCGCAAAGATATCTCGGTGTAGGGTCTGTCATTTGGTAATTAACTTAACGGCACACGTTTCGTTCGTTTTAATTAGTTATATAAGTAATTGTTAATATATTATTATTATATAGTAAAAGTAAAAATGGTTTTTTTTTTTTTTTTTTTTTTAATTATTCTACTAGGCGATATTTTTATGTTTATATTGAACTTATTTACCACTTGCATTATGGATCACGAGTTATGAACGATTTAAAATTATTATAAAATAGTAAGAAATTTACTCTATTTACAGTTCAAGAAGTATAGGCAAGTAAGTTGTTTTTTCTGTCTCTTCCCTTTTGTCTACGCATAAAAAAAAAAAAAACTGTAAACATCATAATCCAAAAGTAATTAAGTACTTACATAGCTAGTGAGAACTTAAAGTCAATGTTTTAAGTTAGGTTAGATTAAGTTTAGATGTTTAATTCGTTTCAATTCAAATCAGTTAACAAATTGAACATAAAATGTTTGATAAATTTCATTTTAAATTCATAAACAATGTAAAAAGTCACGTTTTTACCGAGTTTTGTTTTCTTTAAATTTTTTATAAATATTATAGTCTAATTTAGTTAATATTTATCGAGTCAAATTTAATAAAAAAAATTGACTTTACCATGTTTATGAGCTTAAAAATAACAAGACAAATTAATAAAGAATAAAAAAAATGTATAATTGTATTAACTCACTAACTTGATAAATTAAATATTATTAGGTATACCAACGCATCGTTATGTTAGAGAAACAGCTAGAGAAGGGGAGGATTGGACAGCCAGAATCAAAGAATACTTAAACAAGATTCCAGGCTATGGATCAGTATCTTCTGAATCACAGTCACCGACGACAAGTCAGCCAGAAACATCAACGTATCAGCAAGGTGCCGCCGCAGGATCTGCATCGGCTGCATCCGAGATACACTCTTCAGTCGCTACTAAAGAAGGATCCACATCTTCGTCCGGATTCCCATCCTACACAGACTACATGCCGAGTCAATTTGGTCAATTTGGTCAATACCAGAACAACATGCCTAATCTAAGTCAATTTAGCGAATATCAAAATCAATTCGGTCAATACTTTAATTCCAAACCAGGTAGTTCCGGTGCTGCTGCTGGTTCTGCTGGAGC